AGAAAGAAAGAAAGAAAGAAAGAAAGAAAGAAAGAAAGAAAGAAAGAAAGAAAGAAGGAAAGAGAAAGAAAAGAAAGAAAGAAAGAGAAAGAAAGAAAAGAAAGAAAGAAAAGAAAGAAAGAAGTAAAGGACAATCAAGAAAGTCTTACCTAAAACCACAATCAACAGTTTCTGGAATGCATCTGACACAGCCTTCTGAATAGCAAGCTTCTGGGTTGTTTTCCTTTTCATCAGAACTGATAATGGCCCTCAATTCAACCAAAACAAATGGATTTAAAATACCTAGCTGAATGATAACTGATTTTTATGTTATATATTTAAATATGAAAGTGCATCCATGATTCTTAGATCATTATCTTAGCAACTAAGGGCAGGCACAACACAAGCACTTGGTGGAATGGCTCTGCTGTAGGTATATCCTGGCCGGGCACAACTGTACTGCCCTGATCTACCCCAGAAGTTCCTGAAGTACCAGAAGGGAGATGCAAGCCAAGAAGGTGGCACAAATCTCACATCACTCACAGATTTCAAATGGACAAGTTGAAACTATAATCCTACAGACCCTGCCTATTCTCCTGGGCATCAAGGGCTGGAATCACAGAGTGAGAAAGATTTGGTGGTAGCACACATGACCTGGTCTTTTCCTGAGCATCACCCATGGGAACCTACTCCCCTCCATTTGCTAACAGCCCTGCCTCTGCCTTAAAACCCTAAGCCTAAGTGCTACGGACTCTGGGAAAAACCAGTACCAATTGGAATACCTTTTCTAGGAATCTATATTTGATTCTTTACACACCAGCCCTTTATAGGAGGCAAAGGACTGAACATTTACACAAGAGTTTATTTAAATCTTTAGATGATGATTTTGCTGGGATCATTGAAGGCTACAAGAGATCTGTATTTAAAGGACTATCTTAGCACAAGGCAAATTCTTCTTCTTTTTTTTTTTTTTTTTTTTTTTTAGCACAGGGCAGATTCTTAACCAAAAATGGGAAAAACATTACTTCCCTCTTCCTAAACTTCTTGGCGGAAAGTCAGTTTTAGAATTTTAAAGCTAAGTTCTTTTAGGTATTGTGTATGATAAAAACCTGTATTGTACGGTAGAAAAGCTCTGCCCAGGGTTTTAGGAGCTCAGCAAGGGGAGGGCTTGATGATATATCTGAAAAGATGAGTTTCAGAAAGAAAGAGAGATTCTACCTCCACTCCACTCCACCCCCACCCCCACCGTAAACAGACCTTCTTCCAGCTTCTCCAAAGGCTCCTCGGCCATGCCAACTCCAGGACTCCTGCACTCATAGGATGGCAACACCACCTCTAAAGCACAGAAGAATTTCAGGCTCTGCTTCTGAAGTGGTACCATAGCATCTTTATTTTCTCTTTCTTCGAGGTCAGAAAGATCCTGAAGCTGTTAGGATTTTAAATTAAAGGTCCTTCCTAGGATCTCAACATAGACTTCAAGATGTTTTGTTATTAGAAATGAAAACTAAACTCCAGTAAACCCAGCTAACAGTTGAGGTCCTATAGCTTCAAAATCAAGTAAGACTTGCAAATGAATTATTAAATATAGAAAACTAGTTTTTTTTAATCTATACCCTACAAATACTGGCGAAAATTATGGACATCACTACCCAAGTCATTGAAAGTATTATTAATTCTAGGTGGCAGGCCGATGCTCAGGTCCTTCCACTTAGAAGCCTCTCACATCTTCTCCCCACACCCAGTTCTCTCCTCTCTGAAGTCCAGGATTTCAATGTTGAAATGAGTCTGATTAGCCAAAGAAAATCTATAAAGTTTACCTTGATGATCCTTTCTGACCATCCATTGAAACCAAAATAATAATTTGCCAATTCTTGGCACTGGGAGCTATTTAGGGCAAGGGCCTGATGTTGAACTGCTTTATGTTTGGTGCCAAGACGAACCTAAAGACATAAGAGAGAGACTGAAAAATAGCACAACCCGCCACAGAGGCTTATTTTGGGTACACCTGAGGTTGATCAATACCTGTTTCAGAGACTGGCTGTGAAGATTAAAAAGGAAACATTATTGTAAGCAATGAGCTCATAGTAAGCCCTAAATAAATGGTATTCATTATTTTTAAGGTACGGTCCTTTTCTGCATCATTTCCAGGGCTTCTGATTGAATTGGAAGATTTCCCTGACCTCTCGTGGTGAGAGTGATGATGAAAGCAACTAAGGAAGCCCTCCAGAAGCAAATTATGTAGGTGAGCAAAGGAAATTGTTTTTGTTTTCCCATCCTGTAGCTCCTGTTTTAGAATATGACCTGCAGAGCAGACAAGATGGACCTGACACGGAGGTAGGACCTTAATCTGCAGCACCCTCCTCCCCAAGTTACTAACCTGTTAGAACAAGGAATATACATACCTCTATAAATTTTATAAGCAACTAAACAACTAGAGGTTCATTTGCATTAATAAGCTTCTTTGAGAATGCAAATACTTCCAGTCTAACTTACGCTCTATGGTGAATTTCTTAAATGTTCTATCTTAAATGTCTACTTCAACTCTAAGCAGGGTGTAGTATGGTAATATATTCATAAAGATTCAAATAATGCAAATGAAGTCACAGCACTATTAATTCTTTATTGATTTGTTCGTGCATCTTCCTCTATCACTAGTTTATAAGCTCCTTACATGCTTGAAGGAACCATGTCTTACTCTATTCTCATTCCTAAAACCGAGCACATTCTGTTGTTGATTGAGTGAACAAATGAAAGAACGAGTGATAAGAAAATAAAATTACTTTCTCCAGCTGAAGCTGCATGCTGGGAAGAAGAAATGAAGATGAACTTGTAATGTTGAGTGCTGCAGGGGAGGCTAATGGCGAGGCATAGTGGAGCTGTTCTGGACAAGAAGGAAGCCTCAGAAGGGCCCCGAGCCTCTCCGTCAGAGAAATAGTTGTCACCTTGGGAAAGCTTGCCAGTTCCTGCTGCCAACCATTTTCCTTCATGCTACTGAAAAAAACTCTCTCAAATGCCTTAGGCCTCTCCTTGATTTATTTTATTTAAGACATTATTCTTTTTCCTGTATTTAAAAAGGCAAACAACAACAAACCCAACCAGGAAGTATATGTAGTTGCCAAAGTAGAAAAGAACATAGAAGTAAACTGGATAACAATTTTGGAAAGCAGGGGTAGTAACCCAAGGTTCTGTGTTAAATAAAGAAAAGAGATCTAATATGAATACGCTCTCCTGTCAACTATATATTGACCTGTAGCACATTTCCTTCATCACTCTCGGTAATCTCAAAACCTAAATTTATGAAATGATCTTAATGTCCAATGAGAGACGAAAACCTCATTTCTTACAACTGATACAAAGTAATTGTTTCATAATCTATACTATCTGAGGGGCTAGGTGAACTTTTCCCAGGCTAGAAACAGGCAGACCATAGTTTGCAAACTAAAGAATGTCTGACAGGTCATCATTTCAATCACAGGGAGTGAAGCCAAGATTGAAGAGGGTGTTGAACAAGTAGGTAGTATACCTAGAGTCACATCTGAGCAGAGTTCTCAGATTCAAACAAGGTTAAATCAATAAGGAAAGGCATATGATAAGAACAGGCAGCCACGTGGGGAGCCTGGGTGGCTCAGTCGATTAAGCATCTGCCTTCAGCTCGGGTCACGATCCCAGGGTCCTGGGATCAAGCCCCACGTTGGGCTCTCTGCTCGGCGGGGAGCCTGCTTCTCCCTCTCCCTGCCGCTCCCCCTGCTTGTACACACTCTCTCTCTCTGTCAAAGAAATAAATAAAATCTTATAAAAAAAAAGAATAGGCAGCCCGTCAGTGTGAAGTAGCCAGATTAAGAAGCCAGTTAGAGAAGGTTGATAAAGACATACAATTACAAAGTGAAAGGTTTGGAAATCTAAGTCTCACTCACTTATTCAGAGGAAATGACATGGTCCTTGATAAAGAAATGGTGATTGAACTGAGGCACATACTGAAATATAATTCTGGGGCTCTGGGAAAGTAAAATGGACAGCATGGTTAGTATGGAATAAAGTTCCTGTAGTGCATTAAAGAATGTTTTAACCATTTTCTGGGAATTGAAGGGCGTCCTGAATAGGCAGTTTGAGACTGATGATGATAATGACGATGAAGCATCCTTTATAAATACAACAGATGAAAGAATTTGTCATTTTATTTTTTTAAAGATTTTATTTTTTTATTTGAGAGAGAGAATGAGAGATAGAGAGCACAAGAGCGAAGAGGAAGAGGGAGAAGCAGACTCCCCGCTGAGCAGGGAGCCAGATGGGGATCATGACCTGAGGCGAAGGCAGATGCTCAACCGACTGAGCCACCCAGGCACCCCTAGAGTTTGTCATTTTAAATCCACATAATAGTAAATATAAGCAAGACTCTTTCTGTTAAGATTTCTTAAATTAAGGGGCAGGATAAAATGCCACGGGATTTGACAACAGTAAGTTGGGGTTTGATCTCTAGCTTCCAGTTATTATCATGAACCTTAAGTAAGTCACTTAACTATCTTCAGTTCGAGTTTCTTCGTCTAAAAAAAGAAAACAAACAAAAACCCAGGGAGACCGGAGGATCGATGTAGCAATGCATCTGAAAGGATTCCGTAAATCAGAGTGCTGCACAAATGCTAGTCTATTATAACGGAATTCAGCACTCCGTCCCAGTGGAGTTAGGAATTTCCTATTTGGACCCACCTTCACTGGAGAATTCTGAAAAAGATGCTTCTCGTGGCATGCCGTTTGAGCTCTGTGAGCATCCCTTGCTGAATAAAACTTGATGATGGCATAGAAACCAGGACGGGCAACTGCAGCGTTTGGGAAGACGCGGACCGAATACAGAAGGCCAGACTGGGAGAATACTGTGAACAGAGAATGCTGTGGGGTGGTCCCACGCCAAGTAAGTGCATGAAATTTCACGTCCAGAAACCAAAACTGCCCGTTCCCTTATATTCCCTAAACCCTTCTGCACATACAACCCCAAGCACTTCTCATTTCATGAACAGGTCTCCCTCTGAAATCCTAAGATTCGAGAAGCATTAGAAGGCAACATGTGCAGGCTGTTGAGAGTTACCTCTCAGAAATCTGTTGGGGCTGACAGGACAGCTGAGGTCCCCTCTAGAA